TTTTTTTTTTTTTTTTTTTTTTTTTTTTTTTTTTTTTTTTTGACATTTTATTTTCAACGATTTATAAGTCCTGTCCTACGTGACAATAGTTATGCACTTAAAATAATTGTATTGAGGAGATTGCAGAAACTATTGCTAGTCGCGAGTCGCTTAGCAAGTCGAGAGATTCGTTGTCTGTGAGGCATACACGGTTGAAAACCTTAGGCGAATCAAATGGGGTTTTAATTAATCGAATTGAATCGATTGAAACAAGTGGCATGGTCGCATGCCCTATGAATGGCAACGCGGCTCAAAACATAATTATCTTCCTTTTCGGCATCGCGAATCGTAAGGTTTCGTATACTACACGCCGATTTTTCTTCATTATGTATACGCTATGTACATTTGATCTTTTAAAGCACATGACATCCAGATCGACTTTCTAATCGAAATTATTATTTTATATCTTTTTTCGACTCGATGAAAGATTTCATTGATATGTCATCAATAAGCTTAACTGATCGAAATATTTTAATAAAGGCAGAGTTCATTTAATACTTTTAAATGAAAATTAAATGAAAGAGGGACATTTATTCAGAGAATAAAAAGATGAAAGATGATAGATTGATGAATTCAGTCTTAATTAAATTCAGTCATTATCTATATTGTTATTATTAGCACATTAAAATATAGAATCAAGCAACTGTTACTTTGCTTTAAATATTGTTTTCTTCTTTTAATTACATATATATATTGTTAATACAATTTTTAAGTATTTTATACGAATTGTATTTTATAAAAAATGTAAAATATGCATATATATTTAGTCAGTATCATAAAGCAAAATTTAAGATAATTTGTTTAATTTTGAATCATCAATATTTAAATTATTGAATAATCATGGATATTATGTGCTTTTTTTAAGATGTACTACTCGTGAATGCGCGCTCGTCTTCGAGAAATTATGTTTCAATTTCAATAGAACGTGGAATGAATTAGCGATTTGTATACGTAATTAATATATTAATACCGAAAGACTCGCGAAATTCAAGAATGCGAACCGGACATCTGTTTTCACTGCGAACTCACATTTCTCCATACTATATAACTTCTCTTTCTCCATTTTTTTTTAACATTCGTTTTGCAAGATAGGACAACGAACAAATTATGGCTATGATAATTACCAATTACTTATGAGGTTATCGACGACAATTAAAAATGATAGTTTTTCATTTTATTATATTTTGCTCGATGTTTCACGCGACGCAAGTATCATGGTTTTACGTCTGTGCGTTAGAAATTTCATACGTTATCCACTGATTAAAACATTTGAAATCTGTCAAATCTATTAAAGCGTATAGATATATAAAAAAAAAAATAA